TGTTAAGGAATGAAAACAAGATTATATTTCCACTATGTGGCAGTTTAAACATCCGTTAATTATTCACTGATTAAAATACGTTTCTAGATGTTTAATTTCATATTTGATCTACTTCAATCGCCGTTCTGACGAGCTTGTATTATATTTGTTACAAATAATGCCGTAAGCTCACAAATCAATCAAGGGACAGATGCGTCATTTTCGGGAGTTGATTTGAGTCTTGAATATATGTAAATAGTCTTCATAATTACTAGAAATGTACGAAATCGAATAATTCCTTCAAAAATATCTCAAACTAGGAATTTCTTTTCCGTTTCTATAGATGGCTATTGTATATATGGCAGTCTCTCTCCTCTTTTTAACTGCCAAACGCGGATAATTCTGGACACACGTGGATTTGAGAACAAATTTCGACCGTAAGCTGTGAATACTATCACTGAATTGCCTTAGCTAAAAAATTCCCGTTTCTGAGACTAAAGTATGATTGGTGAAAAAAATGGCGCATATGTTCCTTTAATGATTACAAATAAATATACCAAAATTCCTCCTCAAATTCTTCAGTCAGTATATCAGGAATACAACCTCTTAGAATGAACATATAGAAGTCAATTTCTCAGCATTGATCAAATAAAGTCTTACATTATTCTTCAGTGTCATAACTGATCAACAGAATCTCTATATAATCTAATAAATCCATAAAATAAAGTAATCATCAATAAAAACTACAAGTAATTATTGAGAAAATATAAATGTTTTATGCGTTTTTCTCTAATTACTTATTTTAGTGGATTTATCAGATTATAGAGGGATTCTGTCGTATAGTTATTACGCCAGGTTATTCCACTGATGAATATGATATACTCCTCTTTGCGTTGCACTGCAGGCACGTTAAAGATCCTCTGACAGTTGGAAAGAGCAGGCTTATGCCGCTGTCCAGGAAAAAAATTCCCTCATTGCACCCTGCATAGCGTTGCCTTCATTAGCTCACATGGTGCAGAAAGGTAGGACGTAAAACTCCAATCATTTCATTGCATTGCAGGGATGTCAATCGTGTGTACTAGGGTATGACTGGGCGCCGGATTTTAGCTTACAATTGATCTGTATCTGCTGAGACTGAAAGAACATTTAGGCGACCGTATCGCTTTAACAAAGAGTTATGGGCGGTGCGTAGGCAACATATACATTGAACATATAAAATTGTAAATTTAATGCAGAAGGCAAGTTGATTGTATTCGTGAGTTGTATATCATGTGGGTTGATAGAAAATAACTGAGATCTGTTTGAAATGGCGGCGACAGTGGGGGTATAAAGCCAGCCCCCCTCCCCCACCCCCACCCCCACCCTAGAAAAGTTGATTGCACCCACAATTGTACCACCTTATCTGATTTTTATACGTTTTTGCCAGAATGTGTCAGAATACACCAAATCAATTTATTTTTTTCTAAAATTTTCACATCAGAACCCTCCTAAACGCTCTATGAGAGGTGTGCGACTATTAAACGCCTTCGCAGAGTTCAGTCTCATCAGTTTTCACCCCACTGAGTCAGTTTTCCCCCTATTAGCACCTCAAGTCTCGGAAAGCTGGCGCCGCCACTGTTGGTGCGAGCACATTAATTTTTATTCTGATGTTGATTATAGTGTATGTGACCTCACAAGAAGGATTGTAATTAGGTTTGATATAATGAAAAACACAATGATTGAAAATGGCTCTTTTATGTAGTAACCCACAGTCTAACTGTCATCTTTTCACAATAATTTACCTCATAAAGCAGTAACACTTAAACACATGCCCTTAAACAGTTTCAGCTGAATAACAGCGAGAAATAATAAAATTTCGTTACTACAATTCCTATACATTTAATCAAATACTTATTACACCATCATCATCATTATAACAATTTTGTGGTCGCTGTTTTTCAGAGGATGTCCACACTTCAACTACTACTAATACATTTTAATACGTCACAAAACCCTTAGGGCCATATGCAGCGCTCGTACTTTACCTAAACTTTGACTAAAGTCGAACTTTAGGTATGCACCGGTCGATCTCTATGAAAGTCGTTCTTAAATTTGACTATCAAATGTAGAAAATGAAAGCCTTAATCCTTACTTTGTAAAGTTCGACTTAAGCCGAAGTTCAACTTTAGTCAAGGTAAGAGCGCTGTATACTGCCCTTAGATCAATTTCAATGGATATTTTTGGTGGTTGATTAAAGAATACTTCGAACACTACTCTTGGTCACTCAAACAAGTAATCCGAAACATCTTCCTCTACCCAAGCCTCTGAAAGCAATTTTGAGTAGCCGGCAACTGTCAGATTATCATAGCTGACAGATTCTGGAATAGATGTTTCGGTCTATAAAACAAAAGGCATGATGAGCGAACAAGCGAAAAAGCATTTTCAATAAGTAATTACTGATTATGATAACTTATGATGCTATGCTGCTATTGGCTATGCCGCGTTAGAGCCTATTCTAGCGTTAAAGGGATAGATGCGCCATTTTTTTAAAAACCAATCGTTGCCTACCTTAGTCTCAGAAACCGAAATTGTTTAGCTAAGCCAATCAGTAATAGTGTTCACAGCTTATCGTCAAAATTTGAACCTTCAATCCATTTGAAAGTTAAAAATACGAGTTGATTTCTTTAGATACTGTCATAGAGAAAAGGCATCTATAGAAATAGGAAAAGAAATTAAGGAACGGACTTGTGCTATGTTTCGTACATTTCTAGTACTACTATAGATACTTTACATATATTCAAGACTCAAATCAAAATCCCAAAATGGCGCATCTGTCATAAGTAAACGAGTAAACCTTCTTGGTATTGTGGGATTTTGGTGTAATGTTAGCTTTATTGTTCTTACTTAAAGTTGTTTTCAATAGATCTAAGGTACTTAAAAGAAAAAAAAAAGAATATTTCCTTGGACTCGTAATGGACGATGGAAATAGAATTACTACACAAAGAAAGAATTCATCGAAAATGTCTTGCTTAGCCCATCAATAAGAAATTTAAACAAGATTAGGTATTGTCATTGTATTACCACTGCTCTTATTCTATTTGTTTACTTGATTAAATCTCACAAACCATCAATTTTCATTTGTCTCAATAGTCAACAACTTTATTCCTACCAAATTCATCGTGTCGTCTGCTCAATCTGATACTACTTGCCTCTACCCTCAATCCCGGTATAGTCCGGGATAACACTTTTCAATTCGGAGTCCATCCCTAGTGGTGCAGGTCGGACGGGCGGATAGTCCATCGTACGGATGGGACAATAAACCTAGGCACCGTATGCTACAGGCTGTGCACGATAAAGATCCTTCGACAGTTGGAAATCGAAAAAGAGTCCTAGCAAAATTACCTTGTGTGCATTGCTATGTTCCATACTACATACAGTTTTATTTCTTTTTTTCTAGTCTGTACCCGATTCATTCGGCAACTTTCGATGGTTGATTTCTGGACATGCAACGCCATGCAATTTTATCGGGAGGTCAACAATGTTACCCAATTTAGTCTTGGATCCTGCCAATATATTCGCTGGCAAATCTGAAATTGTATTGTTAAAAAAAATGTCCACCTTGCAAGCTCTGCTTACTACAGCACTTTTAGTTTCGCATCGATTTCGTCACCCGACCCTTCGAGAAACCTAATTTTGTGAGACTTCTCTTGTGGAAACTTCGTAGCCTAATATTTCAGAGTTGACTTTCTCAAAAGTTTGGGGAAAAAATTTCGTTTTTGATTGAATTATAGGGTAAGAAATGCTAAACTTTCATTTGAATAAAAAAAAAAACACATATCTCAGATCATTTTCCATTTTAAATTTTTTCCCGTGAGTGGCAAAGAGAATGTATAGAGTTGGTTAATTCGATCAAAGGGAAATAATTTCATATTGAAGTGGTCTGTAGTATTATATGATCTCGTCTTCGGCTGTGAAAAGACAAAACTTCTGATTTTGACGTGACCCGGAAGTATAAGTTTGAACTCTTTGAAGATCATCTTGAACGGTTTGTGAGTTCAACTGTCAACACAACGATTTGGATTAAATAAGCTTTCTTCAGATTCCGTAAGCTGACATTATCGCATTTATCAAAATATGATATTTACTTTCATCTGCAGATAAACAGAAAACTGTAAACCTCGCCGTAGTCGTAGATCTAGGCCTTACTAAGTAACGGTTTGTATGCCTACTTTCTTTGAAAGTACGGTAACATTGATTTTGACTTTGATTGGATCGTATTCGTTCCCTCTGGCTCAGTGTTAACATTAAAGTATAGTCATTTATTTTAAACTTGTGCCTGTTTGAGTCTCAACAGAATCCCTATCCCTGAACCTTTAAAGATCTTACTGGCCTGGGGGTAATGTTACAAGGTTCCTGTAATTCTTGAAACTGGCTTGATACTGGTCTGGAGTGGAGGCAGAGTGATTGTTCAATCTCACTCATCTTTATCTAGATCAGGGCATGAAGTGTTTTCCCCCTTTCCATCTTTTTTTAACCCTAGTGGTTTCCACTCCTATTATAGATTGTTTTCTCCACTAATTAACTTATAATTAAGTAATTAAAAACCTGTTAATCTTTTATCAATCGAATAAATTTATAGACCAGCTATTAAACAAATTCTAAGGCTGATTGAACCCATTAAAGCCAACATTATAATTATCATTTAGATTTAGTAGGCTTTGTATAAGCCTTTATCATACATTATGATTGCAGTCAGACAATGTTAATGGTTACTAATACTATATACTACCGGTACTCTCTTTCTTTTAGATCAATGATGCTTTACCAAATCATTGAAGAGGTAATGGAGATCGGTAATTGACATCATTAGAAGATACACAAGCTAATTATCTTCAACAATGCATCGTTTACAAACTGCTGTTTCGTTGATCAGACCTCTGATTAGAGGAGCTCCTAGACTAGGACCTAGAACAACTTCAGGTTGGATATACTGTGAGAGAAATGGAGCCAGTAGGAAACAATATTCAACATATCAGGAGGAAATGTATTCATTATGGACAAAAGATCCTAAAAGTGTCCATGAGGTAAATTTATTTCCATTTGCCCATAGCCAAAATTTTCTTAGGTCTGGCCCCTTTCTAGCTGTAGGCCTGTTTTATAGGCAAGATTTTACCAGACTACTATTTTTAAATTGGAATCACTGATAGCTCAAGACTAATTTCTTGGTCACGGCTAGGTCAAGAAAATTTTTTACTGGTACTCATAATTTTTTGCATTAGTGTATTTAAGTATCGATATTGGAGGTGTTTTGCTGAAACGTAACCAGTAAGCTTATATAAGGTTACCAGCTCAAGTTTAAAAATTTTGATTTTTTTGGTCATCTTATTTTTTATTGTCAAATTTAGCAAACTAATTGATTAATTGGTGTTTCTAATTAATTATCATGTATTCTTAATCATATCATTATGTTCTTATTGAATATAATTAAGAGTTTTTCTTATTGAATATAATTAAGAGTTTTAACTAATCATAAATGTCCATGTATGTACATCTTTTACCGTATATGTACCCAATAGAGAGCTCAACACTAATAGAATGTTATATTGTAAAGATATTTCAATACCATCTATTTCTTTTTATTTTAGTCATGGGACAAATATTTTCATAGTTTAACTAGTGGTCCAATGCCTAGTCTTACAACTTTAGGTTCCGTGCCTGCTTTATCAGATGCTCAAGCTGATGAAGAATTGATAAAAAATCATTTATCACTAGAATCCATGGTCAGAGCTTATCAGGTGGGTCATTTTATATTTCTCTTTTGGGGTTTGTTTATTGTTAATCCAAGTATCTAGGTCAGCAGCTTAAAGTGGATTAGCTGTGGGTTCATGGTTTAATACCTTTAGATTTTTCAACCTGGATTGCCCCTGTTCGTTATGCAGTTCAATTGTATGAGTACTTTTATTGAATAGGAAGTAAAAGAAATAACAAAATTACCCTCTTTTAATGATTTTTTGTTAAATTTTTACAAGAATAGTAGAACATTTGTAAAACTCCTCTAGATACTATTCATTTCATTTCCCAGGGACTATTTCACTATTTACACGCCCACATGAAAATGTGTATTTTTTTCGTTGCTCCATGTCTGTCCGTCCTTCCATCCATTCACATTTCTTGTAGGCACAATAGCGACTAAAGTTTTTATACAATCTTGCTGATACTTGGTATGCATGTATATATATTGATGAAATCACGGTCAAGTTTGAAATTGGTAATAATCGGATGAACGGATTCAGAGTTATTGCCAATTACTTAGTAAAAACCGTAAAATTTGGCTTGTAGGCACGATATAGGCTACAGTTTTTATCCCATCTTGATGAAACTTGGTATTAAGCAATAATGAGATCTGTCAAGTTTGAAATTAGTATCAATCGAATGAACTGTTTCAGAGTTATTGCCCTTGATTTGATTAAACGTGTAGGTTACCTTGCCTGGCAAGCTATCTTTCATATTTTTAACAAATGTCTAACTTTCATTTGTGTCGTTTAAATTTAATTGAGATTGATTTTCTCTTTTTTTCTTTAGACAATTGGACATAAGTGTGCCAACCTTGATCCACTTGGTATTTTGGATTCTAACTCATATAGGAAAGAATCATTGGAGCTGTCAAAACATGGCTTTTGTAAGTATTTGAGCACTATGATACAGCATTCAGTCTGATTTAAATTAGAGCAAGCTTTCTTTCCGTATTTTTATTTTTGATGTAGCCAAAAACGTTGTCAAATTAACCTCCCTTACTCGATGACATCTGCTTAAACCAAGCAAATTTCTACCTTATCAGGTTAGGTCAAAAGATTAATATGACGAGCGTTCAAGAGGGCTGTTGTTAGACCCTAACTGAAGTGGTGATATTGAAAATAAAAGCTAATAAAAAGATGGAACAAAACTTTGGCCTAATTCTGATTAGACTGAAATAACATGTCAATTTCATTTGAAGTTTTATTCTGTGGTTGCAGAAGTAATTTGCAATTAATTAGAGGTACTTTGTATCTTTGTTAAAGGGGCATTTTGATTCTTTCTCAGGTCAGAAAATTTAGGTGCTCAAATTAACAAAAACTATAGACCTAAATCTAAAGATATCTGTCTCTTAACTTATCTGAAAGTTTGAACTAAAATAAATCATACCATTAAAATTTAGTTTATGTAAACCTTTTACAGTTGTTTTGTTTGTTAAAGCTAAAAACACTTAAACGAAAATTATGAAACTTTTTTCGATTAAGTAAAATAGTTGTAAAAATGATATTTTAGAAATATTTTTCTAGTCTAATTTACATGGTTTTTAATAATGAAAATATTAAATACTGCCCCTTCTAATGGTAAATTATAATTTTGAAATTGTTTCTATCTCTATGTAGCAGAGGCAGATTTAGACAAGAAATTCCATTTACCACGTTCAACTTATATTGGAGATGGTGAATCTCAGCTAACATTGAGAGAAATTAGAAACAGATTAGAGGTAAGTTGGATAATGATATATACCATTAGCAGGGCTGTATCATTGGTACACAAAAATTAAGACACATATCTTGTACAATACAGATTAATATCTAGAGTTAGAAGATCTGATAGATATTTAAGAGCCAAATTATTTAAACATTTGTGCACCATCAGAAGAGGTTTGTAATCTGCACAGACTTGTATTGGATGATTGTGTAGCTCCCAATGCCTATTGTGATGCTGGCATATTTTGGTAGAACCAAAATCAATTTAGAAGCCATATTTTGCACTTGTAGGGGTTAAATTTATGCTAGAATATGAATCATGTGATTGAAATCAAGGTGCCAATGTTGTACATGTTATTGGTTGTAGATAGTTGAAGGAACCGAGAAAGGACATAGGACATAGCTAATTTCTTTCTTCTATGTGATTTAGATATAAGATTAAAACTTTGAAACCTTGTTTGTATGCAATATTTCAGAATGCATATTGTGGTAGTATTGGTGTAGAATATATGTTTATCAATAATAGAGAACAAACTGATTGGATTAGAAGAAGATTTGAAACTAGACCAGTTTTAACAGAAGAAGATAAAGAAACATTATTAGAACGCTTGATTAGATCAACCAGGTAAGATATATTATTAGAACGCTTGTTTAGATCAACCAGGTAAGAAATATTATTAGAATGCTTGATTAGATCAACCAGTTAAGATATAGTATTAGAAAGCTTGATTAGATTTACCAAGTAGGCAACATTATTAGAACACTTGATTAAATCAACCAGATTAGTGACTTTATTAGAACGCTTGATTAGATCAACCAGATTAGTGACTTTATTTGAACGCTTGATTAGATCAACCAGAGTAGTGATTTTATTAGAACGCTTGATTAGATCAACCAGGTAAGTAATATTATTAGATGATTAATTACCAAGTAAGTAACGTTATTAGAAAGTTTGATTAGATCAACCAGGTAAGTAATGTTATCAGATCGTTTAATAAATCTACCAGGTATATAGTTTTTTTACACATCGGAGCTGAACAAAATTTGACATACAAAAAAAGCAGAATGTCCCTTTAACAACATAAAAAAATGAATCTTGAATTTCATGGTATATATGATGATTATTTTTGGACATACAGTGCTCCAAAGGTCAAATTGAGCTGATTTGATAAAACAAAAATATGACTTAATCATTTTGAAAATTTCCAAGTGTTAAGGTTTTTCTGAAAAGTTCATTTGATTTGATGGAATCCTATATGTATGTCTTATTATTAAGAAAATCCTTTGGGATGTTTTAACAAAATAACAAGGAAACTTTCTAATGGATGTAATTTGTTTTACAGATTTGAATCTTTCCTAGCTAAGAAATGGTCATCTGAAAAGAGATTTGGTTTAGAAGGTTGTGAAGTATTGATACCAGCAATGAAGACTATAATAGATGAATGTTGTGAAAATGGTGTGGATTATTTTGCTATTGGAATGCCTCACAGGTTTGTATATTTGATATGTATTAAAGCTATCATGTTGAACTATGTTGAAGTCATCACCATGGTTAGCCATTGGTCCGCCAATGGACTTGTCTTACCTTGCTTATGTTGGGTTGGCGAGTGCTACTAGTTAATATTTGGACCAATGGTGGACCCATAAACTTAATTTTTTTTATAATCAATTTTACTTTTTATTAAAGCATGATAGCTTTAAACTTTAAGTATGGGTGAAGTCATCACCATGGTTAGCCATTGATCCACCTATGGACTTGTCTTATGTTGCTTATATTGGGTTGGCCACTGCTACTAGTTAATTTTGGACCAATGAACTTAATTTTTGTTGATAATCAATATTACTTTTTATTAAAGTATGATAGCTTTAAAGTTTAAAAAAGTTATCAGATTTTTCATTTTAAAAAGTACTACATACAGCAGAAATTGAGAAATATTAACTAAAGCGAAAAAGCTCTATTTCTGATATGATATCTGAAGTCTGATTGGTTTAAGAAACACTGATAGGCAGCAAAATATGCCGGATATGGGCAGACGAGCAAATTCAATCACCAGCGTAAATAATAAGCTGAAAATATTAAAATTTTTCTTCCAGAGATTTGTCATCAAAATGAGCGGAAACACAGGTGACATTAACATTTTGATTTGTATATTTTAGAGGAAGATTAAATGTATTAGCTAATGTATGTCGTAAACCACTAGAGAAGCTGCTATGTCAGTTTGATCCTGATCTGGAAGCTGCTGATGAGGGATCTGGGGATGTTAAGTATCATCTTGGTATGTGTCATGAACGATTAAACCGCAAGACCAATAAGAACATCAAGCTGTCAGTTGTAGCCAATCCATCTCATTTAGAGGCTGTGAATACTGTTGTTATGGGAAAAGTAAGATCTGAACAACATAAACGTGGTGATAAAGATGGCAAGACTGTAAGTTCTAGTAAAATTATGATTTTGATAGAGGTTAAACATTAATGAAGACTGAAGTCTTCTTTTTGCACCATTCAAATTTGTTGTTGTTGTACGTTGTCATGGTAATGCAGAATGGAAGGGAAAAAACGGCCTATGAAATTACTATTTGTGACTTTGTCTGTCTGGAAATCAGAATGTTATAAAGACGTTATAGGTCTTACTGAAACAAATAAGAGGTTGCACCAATCAAATGGTGTCTTACGCTCAAGTGTGCTACAGAACCAAACTTTCTTTCCGTTTTATTATTAGCTTTTAATTTTAATATAACCACTTCAATTAGAGTCTAACGACAACCCTCTTAATCGTTTGTCAAATTATGACTTGATGACGTCTGCTTTAAACATATTATCCTCTCCAGCTCTAGCATTTTGTGACACAATGTTTATCAGGTTAGGTCAAAAGGTCAACTTACTGAACATTTAAGATGTCTGTCGTAAGACCCTAACTATATTTAAAATAAATGCTAATAAAAAACTGGAACAAAAGTTTGGTCCAATTTTTATTAAACTGAAAAGAAAGTCATCATTGGAAATATAGAAATGTGAAACAGGGAACACTTCCTTTTCATAGTTTGTTTATTTATGCTCCCTTTGTAGGCCATGTGTATGTTGTTACATGGAGATGCTGCCTTCTCTGGACAAGGAGTTGTATATGAGGCTATGCATCTTGGTGAACTGCCAGCCTATACTGTTCATGGTACAATACATATTGTAGTCAATAATCAGGTTGGTTGTATTTAAAACAGAACAGGTTTATGACGCAGTATTTTGTTTTTGACAGTTAGGTCAGTTGACAGTTTTTTCTAGAAAAAAAAAAACCAAAACAAGTTTGGCTTTATTAAAGGGACAGTTGTGCGCCATTTTTTGACCAATCATACTTTAGTCTCTGAATTTTTTAGCTGAGCCAATCAGTAATAGAGTTCACAGCTCACACTCGAAATTTGAGCCTTGAAATCCATGTGTATCCAGAATTATCTGCGTTTGAAAGTTAAAAAGACGAGTCAAAGTAATAATATACCGGTACCTCTATATGACACATAGATAACCTATGGATTTCAAAATTTTGGCTTTGTTTTTTCATATTTCTCAATTATGTTATTTCAGTTATTAATCGATTATTGATTGGTAGTCTGCCATCAATAATTGATCTCAATTTTATAAAAGATACTTAGCCCACACTTTTTTGAAAATATACAATTTTTTTTTCTATTTTTTTCATAATTATGGCCATAGTAAAGAAATTATTACAAAGTTTGTATTGAATTAATGTTTTTTTTTTTCAGATTGGATTTACTACAGATCCCAGGTTTTCTCGATCTTCACCTTATTGTACTGATGTAGCTAGAGTTGTCAACTGCCCTATCTTTCATGTCAATGCAGATGATCCAGAAGCTGTCATGTGGGTTTGTCAGTTTGCTGCAGATTGGAGAAGAGATTTTAAAAAGGATGTGGTCATTGATTTGGTAAGAGCTATTTTGGCAGTTTTCACATGTTATATGTACTGAGAGAGAAGTAAGAATGGCAGCAATATACAAGTGTTAGTTGGTTATAAACTCACTATGGTTAAAGTCCAACTGACCAGGGGTCACTGTAATCAGTATTGCATGGCAGTTTGTGAGTCAAACGTGCGATCAAATTTTTTTTTTCGATTAGCCAAATTCAAATTCTAAAACTATAATCTGTGAATAAAAGTGAATTGAATGTTATTTTTTTGATTTTCATCAATGGGGAGTTGTACAGTATTCTCCACCTAATACTAGGGTATATAATTTGCTGAAGAATTGTTATGAGATGTGAATTTATTCGGGGGTTAGCATTTTCATCAACCCAAAGTCAGGTCTAAAACTTGTGGTAGTGTTTTTGAGTTGATATAAACAAATTGTTAAAATGCAATTTTGAAATTTTCTTGAGATTAGTGTTTTTGAAATGATTGATTATAATTTAGGTCAGCTATAGAAGATATGGTCATAATGAAATAGATAATCCTATGTTCACTCAACCTATTATGTACAAGAAAATTGAAAAGTTACCTACCGTTGAAACAAAGTATGCTGAAAAACTTATCAAAGAGAATATTATGAACCAAAAAAAATATGAGGTAAGCAAAATATTACTCTTGTTAAACTCTTAGGATGGACAAAAAATTTAAAGTCTCAAACTTGGTCAATATGGGTATATGTTCATCAGTTGGACTTACCAGGTGTTAAGACTAAATAATAGAATATCTATATAATACGATGTATCTCTATTAAACTAAATAATTATTGAAACACGATTTTAAGCACGTTTCAAAATTACTTAGTTTAATAGATTATTACTTAGTTTAATAGATTATTACTTAGTTTAATAGATTATTACTTAGTTTAATAGATTATTACTTAGTTTTATTACAAGTTTAACTTGGATTTATTGGATTAAAGAGGGATTCTGTTGTATAGTTATGACACCAGGTAAGTCCACTGATGAACAAAGACTCATTTTAATATTTTGGTCATTCTAAGATGTGGTATACCCTTAAATAAGTGTCAGAAATATTTTTTTTTTCACAAATAAGTAAAATGGATAGCAGAAATTGGACTATATCAACCAACAAAGCAAATATTTAGAAGTCTATGGAATATAACATGTAAAAAGTTTCATTTTAATTCTCACTGTAGCATTGTTTTAATTGAATACAAAATGATTTATTTCTTTAAATATTTAGGATACAATCCATGAATATGAAGAAATTCTAGAAGAAGCTTACAAAAATTCGAAGACTGAATTAGCCACAAGTCCTAAAGAATGGCTAGATTCTCCATGGACTGAGTTTTTCGCTGAGAAAGGTGATAGTGCTGGTTTATACTATCCTAGTACAGGAATCACTGAAGATAAAATTAACCATATTTTAACACATGTTAGTTCTATACCAGACAAAACAGATCATAGTGGTTCCACACAGAAACAGAAAGTCAAAATACATTCTGGTAAGTTCAAAAGCAAGGATACATTATAAATGTGTTTCTATAGAAAGGAAAAGTATACAATATGTATCGCAATAGAAAAGCAAGGATACAATATGTATTGCAATTTAAAAGCAATGATACAATATGTATTGCAATAGAAAAGTAAGGATACAATAGGTATTGCAATAGAAAAGCAAGGATACACAATGTATCGCAATAGAAAAGCAAGGATACAATATGTATCGCAATAGAAAAGCAAGGATACAATATTAATCGCAATAGAGAAGCAATGATACAATATGTATTGCAATAAAAAAGCAATGATACAATATGTATTGCAATAAAAAGCAAGGATAGAATATGTATTGCAATAGAAAAGCAAGGATACAATATTAATCGCAATAGAAAAGCAAGGATACAATATGTATTGCAATAGAAAAGCAATGATACATTATGTATTGCAATAAAAAGCAAGGATACAGTATCTATTGCAATAGAAAAGCAATGATATAATATGTATTGCAATAGAAAAGCAATGATACATTATGTATTGCAATAGAAAAACAAGGATAGAATATGTATTGCAATAAGAAAGCAAGTATACAATATGTATTGTAATAGAAAAGCAATGATACAATATGTATTGCAATAGAAACGCAAGGATACAATATGTATTGCAATAAGAAAGCAAGTATACAATATGTATTGCAATAGAAAAGCAAGGATACAATATGTATTGCAATAAAAAAGCAATGATACAATATGTATTGCAATAGAAAAGCAAGGTTGCAGTTTGTTTGGCAATAGAAAGGCAAGGATACAATATGTATTACAATAGAAAAGCAAGGATACAGTATGTATTGCAATAGAAAAGCAAGGATACAGTATCTATCGCAATAGAAAAGCAAGGATACAATATGTATTGCAATAGAAAAGCAAGGATACAATATGTATTGCAATAGAAAAGCAAGGATACAATATGTATTACAATAGAAAAGCAAGGATACAATATGTATTGCTATAGAAAAGCAAGGATACAATATGTATTGCAATAGAAAAATAAGGATACAATATGTATTGCAATAGAAAAGCAAGGATGCAAAATCAAAATTTTATCGACAACATGTTAGGAATTGTGGGATACTCGGTGCTATATGTTAAGTGATTTGATGATAATTTCAGGTGTTAAAAGAATATTAAATGCTCGTCAAGAACTATCTGAAAAGAGACTGGTAGACTGGGCAGGAGCTGAATTTTTGGCTTTTGGCTCGTTGTTAATGGAAGGATGTCATGGTAGACTAAGTGGACAGGATGTAGAAAGAGGCACATTCAGGTAGTTTGCTTTATATATTTCACATGGCTTGTCTTAATACTATGTTTTCTATCAGACGTCTATGGTTCCTGTAATTCCACTAAAACTAAGTGTTTGTCACTAATCATGAAGGCCCTATGTGCTAAAGCATATTTTGCAATTAGTGACATCATTAATGTTTAGTTTTAGTGGAATTGCAGAAACCACAGACATCTGATTGGAAATTGGAATGTTACAAATTGATAGTATCAGTGTCCAAGATACCAATAAAAGATATGATTTGGAAAATGGAATTTTCATTTCAGTCATCGTCATCATGTATTACATGATCAAAATGAAGATAAAAGTTTTGGTGTACCACTAACATCACTATCACCAGATCAGGCTAAATATACAGTTTGTAATAGTTCTTTATCAGAGTTTGGTGTATTAGGTAAGATAAATGTTTTGGTGTACCACTAACATCACTATCACTAGATCAGGCTAAATATACAGTTTGTAATAGTTCTCTATCAGAGTTTGGTGTATTAGGTAAGATAAATTTTTTGGTGTACCACTAACATCACTATCACCAGATCAGGCTAAATATACAGTTTGTAATAGTTCTTTATCAGAGTTTGGTGTATTAGGTAAGATAAATGTTTTGGTGTACCACTAACATCACTATCACCAGATCAGGCTAAATATACAGTTTGTAATAGTTCTTTATCAGAGTTTGGTGTATTAGGTAAGATAAATGTTTTGGTGTACCACTAACATCACTATCACCAGATCAGGCTAAATATACAGTTTGTAATAGTTCTTTATCAGAGTTTGGTGTATTAGGTAAGATAAATGTTTTGGTGTACCACTAACATCACTATCACTAGATCAGGCTAAATATACAGTTTGTAATAGTTTTTTATCAGAGTTTGGTGTATTAGGTAAGATAAATGTTTTGGTGTACCACTAACATCACTATCACTAGATCAGGCTAAATATACAGTTTGTAATAGTTCTTTATCAGAGTTTGGTGTATTAGGTAAGATAAATGTTTTGGTGTACCACTAACATCACTATCACTAGATCAGGCTAAATATACAGTTTGTAATAGTTCTTTATCAGAGTTTGGTGTATTAGGTAAGATAAATGTTTTGGTGTACCACTAACATCACTATCACTAGATCAGGCTAAATATACAGTTTGTAATAGTTTTTTTATCAGAGTTTGGTGTATTAGGTAAGATAAATGTTTTGGTGTACCACTAACATCACTATCACTAGATCAGGCTAAATATACAGTTTGTAATAGTTCTTTATCAGAGTTTGGTGTATTAGGTAAGATAAATGTTTTGATGTACCACTAACATCACTATCACTAGATCAGGCTAAATATACAGTTTGTAATAGTTCTTTATCAGAGTTTGGTGTATTAGGTAAGATAAATGTTTTGGTGTACCACTAACATCACTATCACTAGATCAGGCTAAATATACAGTTTGTAATAGTTCTCTATCAGAGTTTGGTGTATTAGTTAAGATGATAGTTTTGGTGTACCACTAACATCACTATCACTAGATCAGGCTAAATATACAGTTTGTAATAGTTCTTTATCATAGTTTGGTGTATTAGGTAAGATAAAAGTTTTGGTGTACCACTAACATCTTTATGACTAGATCAGGCTCTATCAGAGTTTGGTAAATTAGGTAAGATAAAAGTTTTGGTGTACCACTAACATCACTATCACTAGATCAGGCTCTATCAGAGTTTGGTAAATTAGGTAAGATAAAAGTTTTGGTGTACTACTTACATCACTATCACCAGATTAGGCTCTATTAGAGTTTGGTAAATTAGGTAAGATAAAAGTTTTGGTGTACCACTAACATCACTATCACTAGATCAGGCTCTATCAGAGTTTGGTAAATTAGGTAAGATAAAAGTTTTGGTGTACTACTTACATCACTATCACTAGATCAGGCTCTGTCAGAGTTTGATGTATTAGGTAAAATAAAAGTTTTAGTGTACCACTAACATCACTATCGCCAGACCAGGCTCTGTTCAATATTTAACATAGCAATTTGTCTCCTTCAGCGGTTTCATACTGCTTTTAAAGGAATACCAGCTCTTAATATGAACATCAAATTTGAATTCTCAAACTTGGCTAGATTTTGCATTTCAACATTAATTTCATTTCAGGATTTGAAGTTGGTTATTCTATGAATGATCCTAATAGTTTAGTGGTATGGGAAGCTCAGTTTGGAGACTTTGCTAATACTGCTCAGTGTATGATAGATCAGTTTATATCTAGTGGACAGAATAAATGGGTTCGACAGAATGGTATTGTTATGTTACTACCACATGGCTATGAAGGCATGGTAAGATCTTTTCTAACAGTTTAAATACACTAAACAGGCAGAGTAGAGCAATTTAGTGCCGGTGCATCAAGTGTTGGTAGGTTTCTGTGAACCAACAGAATCTGTGACGCGAAACATTTTCTCTCCTCAACCAATCAACATCAAATATCTCATCACATGAAGTAAAATTATACTTGAACCTTGTGGTCATGTGAGAAAAAAGTCATGTGACAAAGTGGCATACGCAATGTTTCTTTTGAAAATTTGGCCAATGAGAACTTGAACACAAAAATCTGGCATGTAGCTTTACTACACAGAAGAAAATCATGATATGAAAACCCACTCTGGCTATGCTCTGCTGGTAATGTTTCCATCCTCAATATCAGACAAGACTGGGATTAGGGAAATATGATAGTAAGCTAGCAACTGAGTTCAGTGAATTAGGTATTGTGTTACATGGTTATCTTAGAATTTCAAAAACAACTGTTCTGATAGTGTCTTTATGTCTGAAACATTGATCAACAACATAAAGATCTTATGGTTTTGAAATTGAAATTCTTTTTGGTATATTATTTTATGATCTATTAACTCTTCTGAGTATAAATGAAATGAGACATCATATACCATAAACTTGACGTCACTTGGTAACATTCTGGGTATATATTGTGTATTTAGTAAACTGGCTGCATGGGTTGAAAGGGTTAATTTTCAAAACTGTTAATCTGGAATACCATTAATAAATACAAAATAAATATTTTTTTCAGGGACCTGAACATTCCAGTGCCAGATTAGAAAGATTTTTACAGATGTGTAGTGATGATGAAGATGTATTTCCTGTAAGTTTATATTTTGAGGTGAAGACTTTCAGACAGTAGTCTAACTGTTTACTGATATTTCTAGAAAATGATCTGGTCTACCAGTCACTTGTAGTTGTTGTATCAGTTTTTAGATAATGCCTTCTCAGGCCCTACTCGTTTACAACCAATCTGAAACTGGATTCTGAATCTGTGTCACTCATTTACAACGGTTTGCCTTGAATCCGAATCCGGATTTCGAATCCATGAATCCACCTTTATCGGATTCAGGATGGTGTCATTCATATGTATTTCTGAAATCTAACCTTCAAATGTAATGAACACTTTTGACAAAGTTTTCTCCTGAATTTTTTATTCCCCAAAAAAATTAATTGTAAGCTTTCATCAAGGAGTTTTAGATGGGTTTGGTTCAGATATTCTGTTATTGAGTTATTGCCCTTGTTTAACAATATGTTTTTATTCTAATGTAGACTGAAGACAATGATCATTTAGTTATAGAACAGTTACATCAAATAAACTGGTTTGTGTGTAATTTTACCACGCCTGCTAATCTATTTCATGGTTTGAGACGGCAAATTTTATTACCTTTCCGAAAACCTGTAAGTGAATAAAAACACCAATTACACACTATTCATTGTATGGAATGATCAAAGGTGGCGAGTTGATAAAACATAGTTATGGAATGGCAGCAGGTGTTCCAGAATGGCAGGTCAATGACACTCACCACAACACAATTTGCAACAAGTTTTTAACCAGGCTACCCCTGTCAGTGATGCAGGTCCAAGGGGCTGACATTGAAATCATTTGGAAGAATAATAAATTAAGACCCTCTATGCCACAGTTTGTGTATGTTAAAGATCCTTCGACAGTTGGAAATCAAAAAAGAGATGGCCAGTGAAACTGTCCTAGCAAAACTTCCTCAAACAGGTACAGAAAAGTAAGATTCCAGACTCCATTTTGTTTTATTCTTGACTTTGTATTGTTTCAGTTAATTATAATGTCACCAAAGAGTCTGTTAAGATCACCAGATGCTAGATCACCTTTTGATGATTTTATTGGTGACAGTTACTTACAACGAGCTATACCAGAAGATGGTGAAGCTGCTCAAAATCCTGATAAAGTACAGAAGTTGATCTTCTGCTCTGGTAAAATATACTATGAATTAGTCAGTCAGAGAAAGTCTAGAGGGCTGGATACAGATATTGCTATTTGTAGAATAGAACAGGTTAGTTTTGTTGTTTTTAGCTGAAACAATGAGCCTAATGGTGCGGGCACATGACTAGAGCCTTATCAAGAGTTTCATCCATTGGCAGCAGGCACACAGGGAGACAAAAAATCTCCTGTCGGTCATTTTCCACTATGTTGATAATCTTGTGGATCATGCAATTAGAAGGAAAATGAATGTGATTAGATGATGATGCTTGCAGACGATAAAACAATCAGTGACAAACATCAAACTGGTTTGATATTATAAATCTTGTCGTCTGTACTTGATTGTGGCACCTTGAAAGATTTACAATTTTCACTCTGAACCATGTATTTCTTGAATCACCGTGATCAGATTTTGAACAGTCTAAAAACAGTGCTTTTAGTTTTATGAATTCATCTAAAATTGATATTTTAACCTTTTAATTTTTGATTTTTAGATTTCTCCCTTCCCATTTGATTTGGTTAAAGAAGAGATGTTGAAATATCCTAATGCTGAATTATGTTGGACACAAGAAGAACATAAGAATATGGGAGCATGGTCTTATGTACGTCCTAGAATGAGAACAGTGTTGAGAAAGATTGAAAAACCTCATGAAGAAATTTCGTAAGTGGTCATAATTTGACATTACTGGAGTCCAGCAAAGTGTTCACTGTTAAAAATTGATTGAATCCTAGCAACTGAATTGTCACAGATCTGTATTGGGCTAATCTTTCTTTTCTTCAAATTCTGATCAGAGCACCCAACAAAAACTAGAAACTTTTTTAATGATCATTAGAAGTTGTATGCAAGCTGTATATTGATGTGTATAGAGTGCAGATTTTTAACATTCAAAGGCTTGCTAAGGTTGGATTGGTCAAACAGATGGCCTTTAAAATGTTCTATATGTTTCTCTATTGTAGATATGCTGGTAGAGAAGTAAGTGCATCTACAGCTGCTGGTTCAAAACAACGTCATAAACAGGAATTATCTAGTATATATAAAGCATCAATGAAGCTTTAATTCTACATACAAATAATATTACACCTCTTCACGAGGTCTCACTTTTATTTTCGGCCTTAAATGGTATCTCACTTGGAGACTATGATGAATAATAAGATATTATCGATACTACCTCTTAGAATAGACATAAAATTTAAAGTCTCAAACTTGGTTAACAAGTATATATATTCATCAGTTGGACTTTGCTAGAATAAAAACTATATATAAGATAACAGAGGAATTCTGTTGTATAGTTATGACACCAGGTAAGTCCACTGATGAACAAAGACTCATTCTAACCAAGTTAAAAAAAATTCAATTTTTTGGTCATCCTAAGAGGTAATATACCTTTAAACAAATGTTACTTAATTTATTCCCTAAATTTAAAACATGTCTTTGTGTTAAATATAATTTTTGAGGCATAGATGTATAGACTAAGGGAATATTTCTCATATTTTGAGTTAAATATAGTATAATAATTTTAGAAAAATGTTGTACATAGTAAAGAAAGATACAGAAAAATTTTTTTTTTAATTTGTGATGCTAATAAAATAATTTATTAAAAATTTGAAAATATTTACTCTGTGACCACAATGAACTGTTAGCCAACAGAAATAAGAACATTTTATGGGGGACACTGTACAGCTACAGTTCACTCAGTGCTAAGGGGTTGTAGATAAATTACATTGTTCTCACTCTCCAATTGTTATTAAAGCTGTTTGGAGGTCTTAAAAAAATATGCGAAGATTCACTACACATGCCTAGTTCAGATGCAAAATGTTTTCCCTTCATTTTCTTCTTCCATTAATAGAATAGTAAAGAGGTTTTCTTAATTTTTAATGTGTATCAGGAATGCTGATAGCACCAATTTGCATCATTCCAATTTTCAATCAGATGTCTGTGGTTCCTGCAATTCCACTTAACTAAAACGTTTGATGACGTCACTAATCATGTATGACTTATTGATAAAGCAAAGATCGCGATTAGTGACGTCACTTAATGCAAAATTTGCTAATTGCAAAATGGAATGGTGCAAATTGATGCTATCAGTGTTCCTGATACACATAAAAAATTTTGCAAAACCTCTTTACACTTCTTTTAAAGTTCAAGTAGTCTTAGTGACTCTGCTGACCTCATGAGGAACAATACCTCAGGATTTTTCAACCTGGTTTCCCTCTGTACAGATCAGAGGGCTGACATGGAAAAACATCTTAAGATGCCCACCTTGAAGATCAATCAACACTGTTAGAAAACAAAATGGTAGCTGGTAAAATTTCCCTTATTGTATAATTATATTGTACATCTTCATTTGCTCTATCTGGAGAGGAAGAATAGGGTGTAAAACTCCCATTTCATTTCATTTCTGATAAAAACGGTATAAGTTTTTAAAGGGACTAAACTCTCTGAAGACTGACAACCTTAACAAGGTAAGTGATGGATGAACTCGAGCCAGAAACAACAACATTGTTAGCAGACGACTGGCCATTAATTATCGATTTATCCAGGTAAAGAGACAAGCCGACAAGGTAAGGCTCTACTCTCACTTTTAACCTGTCAACTTTGAACCCCGTTAAACGTCACATACATGACAGACGACGGTGTTGAGGAATCTTGTCAACGGGAGTGGTGTTTTGGGATGTAAAATTTTACCAGTGATCTCAACGAATTTGGAAGTGTTTTGGAATTATACCTGTCTGTACGCAATGAGGGACACAGAGGAAGCACATAAATTGACTGACAATATTTACAGGGTATGTTTGTTTATTTACATGATTTGTTGATTTTCTGTTCAAGAGAAATGTCTAAATTGTCGAGTCCGTCAACCATCATATATGTACCGTTACTCCAAAAGTCTTGACATTTTCACCTGAGCAGTTCCAGATCAGAAAAAGGTTTCCATACCTTTTTTGACAGTTGCACACGGACACGCCCAAAGTTTATTGATTTAAATGCCGTTATCAGATGTGCGTGATAATTAAGCTAGAATTTGTGAAGTGCGTACAAGTAAACAAATTTTTTATGCTATTTTCAAATCGACACAATGGTTAAAATATTTCTAAAGAAATGAGCTTTGTACAGATCCCCTATTTGATTGAAATAAAAGTGGGGAGAAAAATGTGTGGGGAGGGGGGTGGGGGTCTTAAAGATTTGACTTGCAATTGGAGTTTTGTGGGAGGATTTCAGTGACATTTTATCTTCCCGACAAAAAATTTATGCCGCCCTTATGTTACAAGAGCTGTAGGCGTTCGACAATTTGTTCGTATTTAGGAACATTTGATAGGGGTGATCTTTAAAACGACGTTGAGTTAGGGGTGAGGTGAAGATGTAAGATTATGAGTTTAATTGTGAAGTACCATACTGTACAATACTGTACGTTATCATAATCTTGATCATCTTAGCAAAGGTCATTTGACCTTGAAATCTTGAATATTTTATTGAAAAACAAATTAATAAGTTTGATTTAAAGAAAGTATATTACATGTTAAGTCTAGGAACTAAGACATGAGATCCATTGCATATGATAATGTTCAGCAACTTCCATGTCACATATCATTTGACCTTGAATGTAAAGGTAGCCCTTTTGTCATCGCCTGCAACAGCCTCTTAGAAATGGAGGTACAAACTGACTTAATTGGAACAAATTGGGATAGAAATTCCAATTAGCATCCAACAGGTTCTTCATCAAGAACAGTTTTGAAAAACAGAAATTATTTGGTGCATTCTGATACAAATTTTGTGGTAATAATGTATCAAAATCTTCTTGTGAAATTTTTGAAAATATTTGACCTTGAAATCTAAAGTTAGCCATTTTGTCAGTCGCAGTGACAGCCTTCTAAAACTGTTGGTAATTGAGCCAATATTTTATTGACTCTGTCCACTGTCCATGTACTGTCCCTGCTGTCCCCTCTGCCTCCCTTTGGCTCTGCCACTGTTCTTGCTAAGTAAAATAATACTATTTTTAATTTTTCAGAATTTAATAGAGAATTTCTCTCCCGGAGTAAGACATATAATTGTATGTGGAAAAGCGTACCATAAAGCACTTTCAGGTAAATGGGAAATTTTGTTATTAAAAGAGATTGTAAAGAAGTTTTCTGAACTCTTTAGGTGTATTTGAGACAATGATAGCATCAATTTGCAGAAATCCAATTCTCAGTCTGACATCTGTGGTGGTTGCAATTCCACTAAAACTAAGCATTTTATGACTTTAACCGATAGTAACATCATAAAACACTTAGTTTAAGTGTTATTGCCTTAGCTTTTGAATTACATATCAATATTCAATTTGACTTTAATTACTTGGTTTCCTCAAAAAACATGGTGGTCATTGGTGACATCTGAAAGTTTGATGACCTTGAATTAGTCTCTCCTGTTTATTTCAGTTGATCAAGCTGTAAATACGTACAGGTATTCTAGGGAACAATCAATGGTAATAGGTTTGGTCAAGGAACAATTGTGTACACAGTAAAGGACACCTTCTCGTTATGACCCTTAAACTTAACTTTCGAGAAAGCTATGCTGGAAAATAATTTTCAAGTAGTGTGCACTATGTTTTATTATACAACTATTTACAAAAAACTTGACCATGACTGGTAAAAAAATACGACTGATGATTTTCACTAATTGTAACGACTTGGGGTCCTCAACCATTTAACATTCGTTGGTTGTTGCTTGAATTTCTTTGATCTTTGTCCCAATCCTCAAAATATTAACCAGACAAACTAAAGTTTAATTCAGTCAAACATGGTAACTACATTAATACCTACTGAAAAAACATCTAATTCACATGCCCATATACAGGTTATTACTCAAGTTAAGAAGTATACAAGATTTTGATAATAGTATAAACATGTTTCGGGGCAAGTCACATGTCATGTCATATTACCTTAATGACAATCAAATAACTTGCACCTACTTGTTATTATGTAATAAATATGGTCATTTATTTGTCATCTGTCATTATTAATTAGACATCTAGCTATATCTAGGGCTGTACATTCTACCTGTTTGACTTAATGAGCAATGAAAGAAAAGGTGTGGCATGATAATGGATAAATTCTAGCAGGGTTTTTGTTTTAGATTTGTACTTTTCAACAGACATGACTGTTAAAAACAAAGTCAATGGTAAAAAAGAGATAAATTTGCCCAAATTCAGACAATTTTTCTTCCATATAATCCATCCATTTGCTTCAGAAAATTCGTTCCACAATATGATTTTTTGTGGCAAAATTGACAATTTTTGTGTGTAAATGATAATTACATTACATTCATCTGATTTTCTAAAGAGCACAAATATCGAATGTGCTACCAAAGTTCTGAGAATCATCTTTTTCCGTAATAATCCCTTAATTCCCTAGAAAAAAATCTAGTCTGAAGATCTCTTCAATGATGGCAGCAAGAATGGTGCAGCAAAGTAGGATGTAAAATTCCTTTTCATTTCATTTCATTTCAATGATTGGAAGTAGAAATTACAGTAGATTAATGCCTCTTATTCCAAAATTTCCCTCACTCTACACTGTATAGTTATGGTTGTCCTCATTAGCCCAAAAAACTCAAATTCATTTCATTTCTGATCAAGAATCACCAAGAGCAAATAAGATGACCAGTATGTCTTATAACAATGGAATTCAGTGGACATGACTATCAGAGATACTGGTCAGTTGACCTGAAGAAAATAAACAAACATAAGGTATTAACTGTTGATCTTATTGATATTTTAGGTGTGTCATCAGCAGCTCGTGCCTTTATAGAGTCTATAGGTAAAGTTGGGTATTCAGGAAAACTCCATTGTAAGGGTGGAGCAGAAGAGATTGGTAAGTCTTTGATCCTCTTTATATATTTATAGTATCATAGAATCATATTCTTCTTTATTTATTTATAGATGAGTTGTCCGTCTGCAATTTTTCTATGTCAATAGATAAGAGTTGTCCAAAATAAGATGTTTGTATAACCGAGTGGCCATTGGTGTCCTTAGAATTTTGCAACAATTTACAATTCAGCATCTATCAGACACTACTTTGAAA